TAGTCCAGTCAAATCGGGTTAAAAAGTGGCGTTTCCGTAACAAAAGTGAGGGAGTAGGTTTCTCAACTGGTTTCTATGTTTTTTGGGTCGCTGAATCCGAATTTGAAAAGTGCTGACACCTACCTGGTCCGCATCAGGTCGAAAAACGAAAAAAACCTCAAAATTATGGAGGTTGTTTTGGTTTTTCGTAAATATCATGGAAACGAGGTATCTGTCGTAAAATGTCACTCTTATCAAAGTTAAAGAGCATAAAATTCTGCGTCGAATGACCTCCCTAACGTCTTATTTTAATCGATGCAGTCGTAATCAAACATTTTTATTTATACAGTTCCTTGATTGAAACATTTTTATTGCAGTGTTTGCGACAAGTGAAATCAACATTAGAAGAGGATAGGAAATCGTTGATTAAAACGTTTGAGGGAATCTGAAAACTTAGCTTCATAGCGAAAAAAAAGGGGCTGAAAGTAGGTCGTCACCCTTCTCTTTTATTCCGACCCTTCTCTTTTGTTCCGACCTTGTATTGTATTGAACCTGGAGTCCGAAACACCTGCACCCCATTCAAAGAGCTCCCCCTTTCCTCTTCTTTTCTTTCCTCCCCACTCACATCTGCTTCACAGATTCACTTCAGTCTGTCTTTAGCTCTCAAGAAGTAGATGTAACTAAAATTGTGTGTAAACATCGTGCGTTATTACTTAGTTTTTTTATGCCTGCACATAATGTCGCGCCGGGAGTGTTGTCTGTGTGATGATTTGTTAGAAGATGGGACAGAATTATGTGTCGTGAAGGAGAAAGGGCTGCAGTCCTTCATAGAAGCCAGCACAAAGAGGAAAGATGGTAAGGTGAAACTTTTTAAGGAGAGAACCGAAATACAAGTTCATGTGAGATGCCGGAAGAATTACACCACAGAAAGATCTGTAGCAGCCTATTTAAAAAGAGCAGCTCAACATATTCCCAAAAAGAAGCGTTCAATTACTAGAGAGTTTTCCTTCAAAACTCATTGTTTTATATGCGGAAATCAGGTGGCAACAGATCACAACCAACAACAAATAAAAAATCCTCCCAATAAACGCAACATGGTGTACAATGTGACAACGTTGTCCATGAGAGAAAAAGTTCTCAGCCTAGTAGCCGGTCGTCAAGATGAATTAAGCCAAGGAATAGTAACTCGCCTTGAGCCAGAACATGATTTGGTTGCAGTGGATGCACAATACCACAGAGACTGCATGAAGGCTTTGTACCGACCACATCGACAAGGCCTGCCAACTGGCAGACCTGTTGATAATGAAATGGAAGCTGCTATACATTCCATTACCACTTTTCTAAAAAACAGTGATGAAGAATGTCAATTCACCTTTGATGAATTGATGGAAAAAATTGAAGGTGATTTCCGACCTCACCCAATCACCCTCAGGAGGCACCTCATTCAAAAATTTGGTGATGATATTGTTGTCACCACACACAAACCATACGTTGTGTGTTTCAAAGCAACTGGTCACAAAATAATTACTGAGAACTGGCATCAAGAAGCAATTCGCTTGCCAGAGGAAGAGAAAAGGCGCCACATAGTTGAAGCCGCTGCTGCCATAGTTGTTGAGGATATTCGATCACAAATCTACAACCTGACTGAATACCCCGGGTGTGATAAATTTCTAGAGGGAGCTAAAGACCTAATTCCTGAGACTACCCGAATATTCGTAGAAGGTGTTGTGCTTAACAAGAAAAAAGGGGATCTTGAACCATGGAAGAAGAAATCTGTAGCAATCGCACATAGCTTGATTAGTGCAGTGCGTCCAAGGTCTTTCGTTTCTCCTCTTCAAGTTGGATTAGGTGCTTTCTTGTACAAAAAATATGGTTCGCGAAAACTTATCGATGTGCTGTCATCCCTCGGATTTTGTGCAGCATACAATGAGACTACCCGATTTGAAGTGTCAACAATAATGCGCCCTCCTCTGGCTGTAAGCCAACAAGCATTTATTCAAATGGTATATGACAACGCAGATTTCAACATCCAGACACTCGATGGACGTAACACTTTTCACAGTATGGGGAGTATCCGATGTGTCACCCCAGGCAGTTCTGTAGTTCCTGATCAAAAGATTACCCGTCTGAAGACTATACCATCAGCGGCAGATTTAGGGAGCTTGGGAGCAGTGCCATTACAACACTTCGAGAAGATAGATCCTCTTGGCTTAGCCAAAATTAAAGTATGTGATTTGAGTTCAGAATTTCCACACAATGAAATAATTGTCCCATCAGTCTGTACGTTGGTATGGTTCTACTGTAAATCTAAAGGTTTTCCTGGAATTCGTGGGTGGAATGGGTTCATGGAACAGGTGACCGATGGCATACCTTATGAAAAAACATCCATTGACTGCCAACCATTCATTAATGCACCCCCCAGTGACTACGACACAGTATACACATCATTGACAACTGCTGTCCAAAGGACGAGGTCCTGTTGTCCTGAGCAAAAAACTACGTTCGTCACATTTGACCAGCCTCTTTATCTAAAGGCTAAAGAAATCTTAGCAAGTCGAGAGGGAGATCCAGAGTTAGAGGGTGTAGTCATAAGGCTTGGAGGGTTCCATTTGCTCATGTCTTTTATGGGAGCTGTGGGTTACATAATGGAGGGGAGTGGTTTGACAGAACTTTTTAATACTGTATATGCACCCAACAGCACAGAAAAAATTATGACTGGCCATGCTTACGCCAGGGCTGTCAGAGGACACACGTTGGCTGCAACAGCTCTTGCTAAGGTGATAATGGATTCCATAAATTTCTCCTCCTCATTTCAGTTCGACATCGATCAAGTTGTCTACGCAGAAAATTGGAATGCACTGCTGAATTCTCATGAAACAGGATGGTGGAAAGAAATTGAACAGTCGTTTAAAGACCAGCTCCTGAATCTATCCAATTTGGGGCCCACTGCTAAGTTGTGGGTTCAATATTTTGAAATGATAACATTGATGATGAAATTCATTGAATCAGAAAGAATGGGAAACTGGAAACTTCATCTGGAAGTCATACATGACATGCTCCCGTATTTCCATGCCAGTGGTCACTACCTATATGCAAAGTGTGCCCACATGTACATCCAGGACATGATAAACTTGGAACAGTGGATGCCACTCCAGGAATACCAAGCATTCACTAAGCAAGGAAGTTTCACTATTCGCCGAAGTGATAAATGCTGGTGCGGCACATGGAGTGATATGTGCATTGAACAGCAGCTCATGAAGAACATGAAGGTTGAAGGTGGACTGACTAGAGCTCGTGGATTCAGTGAGGGCATTTTATCACGGTGGACCTTGGGAATGACTTCACTTCAGCACGTGGCTAATGACATTGAGGACTTCTGTGGAGTGCGTTTCGGAACATCTGATCAGCATGCAGACAGTCGTGATGCTAGAGTGAACCTTGACATCACTTGCACACAAAAAATGGTTGAGTGGTTTCAGCAACACCCAGCATTTCAAGACACCAAGGAAATCATGTCAATCAGCACTGGGGTAGTGGGAAATGAAAAAATAAACTGTCACCTCTCCAGAGAAGTGGGTACTGCTGGTATCATGCGAATAGTGGGCACTAATTTTGCAGCAGTGACATTCAGAAGGAAAGACCGAGTTCTCCCACTTGCAACTGTCAACTCAGCTCTCTTCATTGAGGATCGACCGGTCATCGTTAAGCCAACCACTTTGTTTCAAAGGATGGTAATCACCAAACAATCAGACGAAGAACTGCAGGAGTTCTTGACATACGAATTGGCTCCATACCCTCCTGCACTATTTGACGATGGTTTCCTACGAAAAGGCACGAAATCTTCATTGTACAAAACTTTCAAGCCACTTCAAGATGCCACTCCGTTGGACAGCAGTGCAGCATTTGTGATTGATGGTGGATTGTTGCTGCACCGAGTTGTTTGGTCAAGAGGGTTTACCTTTAACGACATATGCAAAGCATATATAAATTACACCCAGAAAAAGTATGGCCCAAGTTCGTATATTGTATTTGATGGGTACTCCTCAGAACATGGAGGGACAAAAGCAATGGAGAGGTTGAGGAGATCAGGAAAAAAAATCTCCTTTGAAATACAGTTCAGCCAAGCGATGACCCCAACATTATCTCAGGAAAATTTTCTATCAAACTCCAAAAACAAAAGTAGATTGATTACCATGCTGATGGCTATGTGTGAAGAAGCAGGGATTACTTGCTACCAAGCAACTGAAGATGCTGATGGACTAATCGTTCAAACAGCTGAATCCTTGGCTCCATTTCATAAAAATGTAGCAGTTGTGGCAGAAGACGTTGATATTCTTGTAATTATGATGGGCCTTCGGATTTCAGATAATATCTACCTGCTCAAGCCAGGGCGTGGAAAAGATCCTCCACTCCTGTATCACCCTAAATCAGCTGTGAATGAAGGCCTCTACAATCACATGATGTTTCTTCATGCTATGAGCGGATGTGATTCAACGTCAGCCATTTTCAACCAAGGAAAAACTAAATTCCTAAAAACGCTCACTAAACATCCTGAGTTAGAGAAGGATGTCGAGAGATTTTTAGATCCTTCAGCCCAGCCAGCTGATATTGCTGCTACTGGAGAATCATTTTTAGTGGCCCTTTATGGGGGAGACCACAAAAAAACAAATTTGGATGAGCTACGCTACAAAATGTACGTAACATCTGCATTTAAAATTTCGAGCAACATAGCTTCCATCCCCCCAACTGCTGCTGCTGCACGCCAGCACAGCTTGCGGGTGTACTTCCAAGTACAGCAGTGGCTTGGAAACCTTCTGCCTCCAGTGCTGTGGGGATGGAAGGCTACCAAAAATGGATTGCTCCCTTTGCCAACAGACAAACCCCCCGCTCCTGACAAACTAATGCAGTCAATTTCATGCAAATGTCGCACAGATTGTGGTGGGCGATGCGGCTGCAGGAGATCAGGCCTTTTCTGCTCGCAACTGTGTGTAAACTGTGCAGATTTGTGTACAAATGTAGATGTCACTTCTGCATTCGAAGAAGAAGAAGAAGATGATGAATTTGGAGATTCTTTTGTTGGCCAAGCCATACACAGTTTGCAAGGTATCTACCATTAAAATTCACCTGCTTTTAAATTGAATTTCATGTAATTACGAATTGATATGGTTGATGTGCCATGTTTTTCAACAGACAAATAACTGTATGTCAACTTTATTTTCAGGTGAAGAACTACTACCACCACAGCATGAAACGACGAGCCGACCAATCGACGAGCCTGGGCCATCGTCTGCCCCAGTTATCAATATTGAGCCAGGCCCTACCTCATCAAAGCGGCAAAGAATTGCATAAATTTTTTTATTACATTTTTCTGTATCTTTTTGGTTATATGTAAATAGTATAAAATAGTAAATGGTATTTTAACAACAGTAAGTTATATTCGTTGAAACCCTTCGTAATGGTCACATTGGCGCTTACATAGAAAATGAAAAATTGTCGCTATATTGTATAGGTTGATCCAAATTTAAAATTTAGGTGCTCGCTGAACGCAGAATTTTATGCTCTACAATTTTGTTTCTCTGAGTTTTTCATATAGAATAAGTATTTACGAATCGCACACGTCAAAAAGTCACCTTACTGCTGTTTTTACAAAAGTTGGAAAAAACGGGCATTTTTTGATTGACGATTGTGGTCATAGAAATTGATCAACATAAGACGTTAGGGAGGTCATTCGACGCAGAATTTTATGCTCTTTAACTTTGATAAGAGTGACATTTTACGACAGATACCTCGTTTCCATGATATTTACGAAAAACCAAAACAACCTCCATAATTTTGAGGTTTTTTTCGTTTTTCGACCTGATGCGGACCAGGTAGGTGTCAGCACTTTTCAAATTCGGATTCAGCGACCCAAAAAACATAGAAACCAGTTGAGAAACCTACTCCCTCACTTTTGTTACGAGTAAACTCCAATTTGACTGGACTATATTGCCATTGCAGGTGACAATTTAGGCAACCATGAATTGGGAGGCTTTGTTGAAAATTTTAATACTGCTGGGTTTTTTTGTCGATACTGTTACGCCAATAAGTTTAGCACAAGTAACCACTTTTGCTGTAATTTTGAGATAAGGAATCCCGATTCTTACAATGACGATGTGAACTTATCAAACATCAATAACTTGCCATTTCGTGGAGTAAAAATTGAGTCAATATTTAATTCTTTGAATTATTTTCACGTGGCTGCACCCGGTTTACCACCTTGTATGGCACATGACATGCTGGAAGGAGTAATACAACGAGATGTTATGTTAATTCTTAATGATTTGTTAAAAAGTAAAGTAATTTCTTTTGACATTCTTAATGATAACCTAAAATTGGTTAAATTTACCAACGAACCGACCGTTATTCTTCCAGATGTAAAAAAAAACGATAAGCTTGTTGGTACAGCAACTCAGAACATGCGGTTTTTGCTGGTTCTTCCGTTCTTTGGTATTGGAAGAGAACACGTAATTCAAACAGAATTATGGAAGATTATGCTTCGTTTACATAAGATACTGTTAATTCTTTTAGGTTTCAGAATTAGCACAGACCAGATAGCTCTTTTACATAACTATATAAAGGAATATATTGTATTGAGGGGGTCGTTTTTTCCCAATGAAACTATGAAACCCAAACATCATTATTTGACACATTATCCCTTTTTAATAAAAATGTTTGGACCATTGCGTCACCTTTGGACACTTCGATTTGAAAATAAACACCAATATTTCAAAAACGTTGTTAAGCACACATCATGTTTCAAGAATATATTATTATCTCTTTCAACGAAACATCAACTTTCTCAATCTTTAGATTTATCCCAGGATATCGTCTATAACAATAACATTATTTTTAACGATGAAGCAATCTACTATAGTCCTATTGACTATCCTGATGAGATGAACCAGTTACCAGGCAATTGCGTGTCGGATTGGAATTGACGAGGAAGCCATTTACATCAGCAAAGATGTAATGTTTCACGGAATACTATACAAAAAAGGAATGCAAGTATGTTGGAAAAGAAACGAAATGGGAAATTTTGTAGCGTTTCACATTTCTCACATTTTATCAAAAACATCGAAAAATACGATCTATTTTTATGGGCAGTCTTTTGATATTATGCATAATGAAGAACTTGGTCTACACGTCAGAGGCAAAAACGTTGAATTTGCATTGGTACCTTTTGATGAAATAATTTGTCACGATACATTACTAGCAGGGCTGGGCAGTATCGAAATACTTGTATTTAAAATACAGTATTTGAAATACATTTTGTATTTTGTATTTAATCTTAGTTTGTCAATGTATTTTGTATTTTGTATCTTAAATACAATTATCATTGTATTTTGTATTTCAAATACCTAAAACATATATCAACCTTTACTTACTTTCGAGAATGTAAACATAAACAGGTAACTGTCGTATTGTAGTAAAAACGGATCTTTCTACTTTTGTTGTGTAAGTGTAGGTAATTAGTATCGTTAATAAAGAAGTGCCAAAATGTAAGGATGAAGAACTAACTAAACTACGTAGTATAGTACGTACATATGTGATTGATATGTATAATAAAAGTCACTTCTTACAGTTCTCACAAATCTCAAATAAAGTTCGATTAATTGATGATTAAACGTACCTAATTAGCCAAACCAAAAACGCACTAATTCCAACAGCATTGTACAAATATTTTTTAAGTAAAAACTAAAACATTAAAAACGTAGCAGATAAAATGCAAATCAATGGTATTGTATTACAGACTCGACGCGTGCCGTGGCGCCAAATCAGCCATTCATTCTTTTTTATCATCATTTTACCAAGTGTTTGGCAAGCATTTTAAGCACTTTAAATCAGCAAAATAATACTTAATATTGGTAAATTGTAGTAACTGTAACGGATTACGACTCGGATTACGATTACAATAAATAACGTTTTGATCTGTAAAAAGTACCAGAACTCGTTACGTTTCAAGTTTTAACGCTCCACTGGTTTACCTATCTATAAAATACACAAAATAATGGTTTCTTAGAATAGAAGCACGTAATTCTATTGTACAGGAGTACAGGTGGTGTACCTTTTTAACTTAATATTGTGACAAATGTTTATACAGGAAACGAAATGACCATTTTTTCGCAGAAAGATGCAGCGTTTTAGGAAATCTTAATCTATGTATTAAGTTTCGTTTCCGAGAAAGGCGCTTTGTACTTTTAGCGTTTGGCTTAAACAATAGCGTCCTTTGAAGAACAGTCATCGCATTATAAATTTTTGTTCGTGTCAAATTGTAACTTTATTTCCCTACTAAGCAGGCTGTTATGTTATGAATAGTTATTTTTCCATAGACTCAAGACTGCGTAAAAAGCTTAGTTAGCTTAGTATAATATAGCTGCTCCGTTGCTTTGGTTTGCACTAGATACTGTTTGTTAATAAATTTCATAAATAGTTTAGTATTAAAGTTTTGATAGTTGTCAATTAGCAATTACCAAAGTAAGCCATGTGTGAACAAGAACCAAGCACAAGTGCCAATTTTATGATTAAAGATGAAGACACAATTCCGTGTATTTTAAATGGAAAGTTTTTTAAAATAATTTCGACTGAATCTAGTGGTAAGGTTCGGGCCAAATGTTTACTGTGCACCACCAAAGAAAACATCATAAGCGGATCTATGAAAGCAACTACTAATTTTAAACTCCACATAAAAGTAAGTAATAAAGAATTAAATAACTTTAATACTTTGCGTTAACTTACGTTATATGTATACTATATACTTACGATACGTCACATATCACGTAGGTACCTTATAGGCAATAATAGGCTATATACTATACATATTTAACTTATTCAAATTATATTAAAAATTTAAAACCACTATTCTTGACATGAAAATACTAAAGTAATCATCAATTTTAGCGTATTCACGAATCGGCATTACCTGAGTTTGAACAATTTCTTGCGGAAAGTAGAAACAAAAACAAAAGAAAAGCGTCTGTTGCTTCTAGTTCTAGCGGTACCGCAATGAAGCAGATGAAATTGTTTGATCCAATTTTACAAAAGTTGAGCAAACAGAAACAATTGGATAAAAATATAATGCAATATGTAACATGTAGCATGAAGCCGTTATCTACAGTTGATGATCCTTATTTTATTAAAATTATCACAGGTGAGTTATACTTATACTTAGAAATCAGAGAGGTGAATGAAACAATATAATTTTAAGATCTCAATCCAGAATTAAAAACTATGTCGAGACGTACTCTAGGACGTAATATTGACAAAAGTTATGCAGAAACAATGCAGAAATTGAAGACTATTTTGCAAAACATTAATCATGTTTCTACCACAGCCGATATTTGGTCTACAAAGCACAAAAGCTTTATGGGAGTTACCGCACATTGGGTATACAGATTAAAACATCCTATATGAGCTACACTAATTAGACATTGTTTTTTTTTAGATTAGTCAAGACGATTTAGTTCGACACAGTTGCGTTTTGGCTTGTCGTAGATTCAAAGGTTCGCACACGTACGATAAAGTTGCAGAGATGTTGTACGATATAACATCTGACTTTGGATTACGGCACGATCAACTCATTTCAACAATTACTGATAATGGGTCAAATTTTGTAAAAGCTTTTGCTGAACATGGAATAAAATTGAACATCGGCGAATCTACAGATGATGAAGCCGATGAAGGTATGTATTAATAAAATTTATTACATCTAATAAATAGTAACTGTAGAATCTGAAGACCATGATACACAAGGTGCTTCAGAAGAATTGTCAGCGTCTTTTACAATACCAGACAAAGATGTCATTACGTTGCCTAATCATTTAAGATGCGCTAGTCACACTTTAAACCTATTGGCAACTACAGACTTTATGAATGCAATAAAAAATTCTGCTGTATCTCGTATACACTATCCAGCATTAGCAAAATGTACAGCGATATGGAATGCGTCCTAAAACTTCTGAGGTCATTGTGAATGTGTTAAGCTGCAGTTTAACGTATCCTTGCCCTACTCGTTGGAATTCCTTGTATGATTCAATTTTACAACTTTTAAAATATAAAGAACATTTGGCTAGTGTAAACATCAATCTTGGATTAGGACCATTTAAAGAAGTTCAACTTGAATATTTAGAGGATTATTGTACTCTAATGAAACCTATAGCGGGAGCCATTGATTACTTGCAAAACGAGAAAACGTGTTTTTATGGGCAACTTTTACCTACTTTATTTTCATTGAGGCAAAGGTTACACGTTCTTCAAGAAAAATCTCTTCGGCACGCCGCTCCACTGTTAAAAACTATGGAAAATAGCTTGTATCGGCGATTTAAACATTTTTTTCACCTTTCAGTAGAAAGTAATGAAGCTATATTAGCATCGTGCTTTCATCCAACTTTTAAAATGAGATGGTTACCATCCTACTGTTCTGAAAATCAAAGAAATTCCATATATAAATTATGCACAAGTGCTATGCAATCTGCAAGCAACGAAATTGCGTCTAAAGGTGAAAAAAATCAAAGAAAAGAAAACGCACTTGATAACAGTGACGATAATGCCACAGATGATGGTTTTTTAATTTTTAATACCGACACGATTGCTAATAAAAATTATAACGTGCAGGAATTAGAATTAATAACATACTTTAATGATAATGGTACATTATTAGAAACGTTGCACAAGTTTCCAACAATAAAAAAGTTATTTTTAAGATACAACACAAGTCTCTGTTCGTCTGCTGCAGTAGAGAGATTGTTTTCCTTTGCAGGTAATTTACAATTCAATGTACTATAATTTATAAATTGCTTTGCAGGTTATATTACGTCACCTACACGAGGTTCACTTAGTGACAATACCTTTATGCAATTAGTATTTATGAAAGGTAATCAATAATACACGGAATAAGTAGTCATAAGTTAGGTGTAAGTGTAATCAAATGTAAGCATTTTGTATTTGCAATCAAATGTATTTAAAATACTGTATTTTGTATTTTGTATTTTAGACAAAGAATAAAATATTATTTAATATTTTGTATTTGAAATACAATTTTCAAGTATTTTGTATTTTGTATTTTGAAATACAAATCAAATGTATTTTGCCCAGCCCTGATTACTAGAATACAAGGCACCAGATGAGTGTTATTATTACAGCTTCAAATCGGCCCCCTATGAAACCTTTTAATTGTAAATATCGCATATTCACTTATTTCGCATAATATTATTGCTCTTGCATTTATGGTGATTTCAAATACTTACGCGTATTGTAGTGTTCTAACAGACCGGTAGCTAAATTCCAGGAAATTTTCAACCACTTATTTCAGTTCGTTTTTACATTATCCCGTATATGACTTTTATGTAAATTTATTTGGGTATCAACTGTAACTCGCAATAAGCATTATGGTACCCCATCACTCTGCGACATTCGGTAGGATAAACGTGTGCATTAAGCAGGGATAATGTTTTTTATTGTTTATGTTAATACGACAATGATTTGTTCAGGTACTGCTCTTTCTTTGCTTGCAGTCGTAATCATGTACGTGTTTAAAGTATGGGATCAGACGCGTCAACTGAAATGCACGGTTCCCATTGATTCAGAGGAGAATATTTGGACTCAGCTTATATTAAAAGGTAAGAACCTAATCACATTCAGAAATAGGCTTCCATTTCTATTCACGTATTTTAGTATCTTCATTTAAAAAAACACACAAATAAATTTATGATCTTATTTGATTAGAAGAAAGAGTAACATTTTAAATGATTTCAATGATAGCAGTAGTCCTTTTCGAGATATTTTTGACCAGCCGCAAACGTGCTACCACATTTTAATGCTTTTTATTTAGCTTCTGCCAAAATCAACGTAGATGGATCTGTTTTGGTGTTGGAAAGTGATGGAAGCGTGGTAGATGAAGATGCCACGTTAAAGTACTACTCTAAAGAAACATTAATGCTACTAACAAGAGATCAACTATGGCTTCCAGTAAGTGTGTCTTCGGACGTAAGCTCCTGCTCATTGGCATAAACTGTTACTGCACTTACCGATGACACCTGCGCGGAACTTGCAAATACTCCCATTGTTTTCCCGGCAAACCTCCCAGAACCGGTATCAGATTTCACTGTTGTGCCTGGACCATCGGAGAATGTTGCTGAATACGAAGTCAATTACGAAATTTTATGGAAAACATTTGAAATTCCATGGAAGAAAATTCCCAACGATATGATGGTCCAAGCATCAAAAGCAATTTCGCAAGACATTTTAAAAAATCCAGAAAAATTAAAGGATTTGTTGCAAACGAGGTGGAGGATTCAAACTGACATGGTCCACATTATAGTTAATGAAATGCGACAGTTTAAATTAAAAATACCAACGAAAGCATTTAAATTAATAGCGCATAAAATTATTGAAAAATGTCCAATATTTCAAGACATTGACGATGATAATAAAATTATTGGGGATGGGTCTCATACCCTTACTGCGAAATTAATAGAAAGGAATAATTACCTTAATCGCCCTCATAAGAGGGGCAGCAAATCTTCTTCCCCAATCCCCCCTAAATTGGCAAAGAAAATGTCTAATCTAACAAGTGGGAGTATCAATTGGGATCCCGAATTGGTTCACCATGACGAAAAAGAAAATATCAAAAATGCATTAAACAACAACTCGATAGAAGAGACAAATGAAAGATTTCACGAATATTTGACAGTTACATACCCAGACATCCGAAAATTAATAAACAAAACCGAAGACACGCCTTCCATAGAAGAAGTGCTAAACGAATGGCCAATTCTTCAAAAATCACTTCATTGTTTCTATTGGCATTTTCAAAAACTTACTACCGTTGAATTGAATTGTATAGGAAGTAGACTAAATGCCAAGGCATCTAAAATCATACAATTCGGTAAAAAAAACAACCTTATTGAAAATACAGACAATGCCCCACAAAACGTTTTGGAAGTTTTCTGTGGATACTTTAAAGAAAACCTGAAGAAATTTATGTATAAAGTTAAGGTAAGATAATAATAATTTATGAAAACCTTACATTGCACGTTGTGTTTAAATGTTGCTTCAGTTGATCCACCTATCACCATTAGTATGTCGGTGTTTAGTACAAACAAATTTCCCTCGAGACCATTTTTTGGGTATCATAACTATGATACAGACGAGGATACAGAAATATGGACTGAAGGTCAAATTTCCAATTTTTTGCAACAAGTTTGAATTTTATGAAGTTGTTCAGCTTTTTATTGGAGGGTATAGGTACTTATATCTGATTGCAGGTATGTACAGTCTGAATAAAATTTTTATTTTTAAATTCTTTATTATATTTTCTTTAATCAAAAAAAGAAAGGTTCAATTCAACCTGTACATACAATCAAATATAAGTTCCTACTTTCAAGCATTTACTTATACTACTGTACAATGATACAGATGGGCCTCTGTCTACTACTCGTATATATCAAATAAATCAGATTTGAAATTTTCTCCCTCCTTGTGATAGTTTCGTATCGTGGATGCATAAATTTTTTTTGTTTCAGGAAGAAGATTTTGCCGAAAACAATATAAATAATTTAGTCGAGATAAATTCTCCCTGCATTATTGAAATAGGTGAGTTTCTGCCAAACAAAATTAATTACCAGCATCCCCCTGAATAGGGGTAAAAAGTTTTCTTGTCCGTTTCGGGTATCACACCGGATGATTCAATAGAAGTGATGATCGTGTTTTGCCCATGCGCAATAAACATTTTATTTGTTGCTGTACGAGCTCGTAACACAGCTTACTTACTATCCAGCTGCACAACTCTCTTGGCGGGAGCGGTTTGCGCCGATCTACGCGCGCAGTGCTTATGCCCCGCCTCTTGGGGTAAAAGACTGCATTGCCTGTTTTGGCGTGCAATCAAGCCCAGTGTTGCCACGTAGTAAATCAGATTTACTCACACTCACAATTGCTAAAAGTAGACATAACAGGCGCGTTTTTCAGTTTCAATTAGGCAATAAAATTTATTAAACACTTTCATTGCAATATTACGTAATATTGTACAGCAAATTCTAAACGTTCACATTACAATACAGCACAAAAATCACCTACTACGGTACTGTGAAGCGACCGTGCGATGAAAATTCGTTTAATCCGGCCCCGACTTTTACCCCAAGCGCGAGAAAGTGCGCACCATTCTATCTCGCTTGGTTGTGGACCGCCAGATCAAAGGCGCCGCTCGAGAGTTGCGGAGCTGGATAGTAAGTAAGCTGTGCTCGTAACGTCTGTACGCAAGTGCGGTTTTGATTATATATTGTGTGGGATTGTTTGTTCTAGGTTTATTTTACTGTTTCCGTATCTTAACAAATTCTTTTTTATTTTTAGATAAACCAGAACCGAAAGAATATTGGGTCATACTGGAGAGGAAACCATTCAAATGTGTACGTGATTTAATAATTGCAATTGAAATTGCTTTCGGATTACACTACATCTTTAACTTAGCATATCCAAATGAGGTGTCCTCCTGAATACACATGGAATTCCTTGGAATTCTTAGCTTTCCTAGGAGTTCCTCCGGAATTCCTATGATTTCCTCAAACGTGTACACTGATTTCCCATCGCGGTTTACCCCTCGATAAAAATATATCCTTTGATATATAGTGCCGGTTGCTCCCTCCATAAACGTGGCAACATTGCCGGAGGTGGAAACGATACATAGACTGCATGAATATACGGAAGGAAGTTGGTGAAGTTGGTATACTTGATACAGAAAATATATATATGTTCTAATCAAAGAAATTGATACCCCTCTTTAGGGATTGTTATTAAGGGGGGTCTATAAAGAGTAATTTTGATAAAAGATGGGTCATAACACAATCTGGAGTTGTGGAGGTTAGGTCGCCTGCTGAACGTACCGGAGGTAACAACTTAACAGCTATCAATATATATATATATATATATAGATATATACATCCCGCTATCATTATTGCGTCCGCACGTATTTGTACTTTATTGCGTCTCCTAGAACGGATAGGAATTCTTAAACTATTGCCGCGAATGTTGGTTTGGAATCGTATGACGTGGCTAGAATCCTAACCAGATTTCAAAAATTCCCAGTATTTCGATATACGAATTTTCAGTCATATTGAATCATTCGTGCGTCCTTTCATATGCGCCATTGTCACACCCGTATATGCATTTCGCCGTATATTATTGCGTCCTGCAATGTTGCCAATGTTAATGCTTAGTCATTCCTCGTCTAATCACATATTCAAGAGGACGTTGATCCGGCAGGAATTAATTTAATTATACGAGTCCAATTGCTTTTCCTTGTAAAGGTGTGGAACTTAGTATAAAATTTTGATTTTGGTTTTTGTCGACGTATGTCTCTATTGTAATTACTTGTACTGAATTTGTAAGGTAGAAGTAGATAATTATAAATAAATGAATGTTTTCTTATAAGTTATTGGTGATC